GAAAAAAGAGTTTAAAAACATTGTTCGTAAAAAAAACGGGAATATAGACTTAAAAGGGCACAAGAATTGTATGAAATGAAAACTAGTAAACCAAGAGAGTTTTGGAAACATTTCAAAAAACGTGAATGTATCACAAAGTTCGGATATACCTATTTTAGATTTCCAAAATTATTTTGCAAATATGTTTGAAGAAATAAGGGCTACAACTAATTTTGATGCAAATATTTCAAATGATAATATTGATCCTGATATTAGTAACCCTACTTCTGAAGAGCTTAATATTCCCATACCTTGCGAAGAAGTTAGAGATGCGGTTAAGCGATTAAGCCGAACAATGCGTCTTGTCCAAGTGATGACTTGTTGAACGAATACTTTATATTTTCTATTGATATATTAGTAGGCCATATCACTGATCTTTTTAACAGAGTTTTCGATGCAGGCTTTTTTCAGAAATATGGTCTGAAGGCTTTATTATACATCTTCATAAAAAAGGCGATCATACTTATGTTAACAATTATCGTGGCATCACATTACTAGGTAACTGCGGGAAATTATTTATAAGTATCTTGACAAATAGAGTGGAAAAATGGTTTGATGATAATAACATTTTGTCAGACGTTCAATTTGGTTTCAGAAAAGGATGTAGTACAGTAGATGCAATTTCGTGTTACATAATTTAATAAACCAGGTGTTAACTAAAAAAATGCGATTACCTTGTGCTTTTATCGACTTAAAAAAGGCGTTTGACTCTGTGAACCGCAATGCATTTTGGTATAAATTGTTTAATATTGGATTAGATGGGAAGTAACTTAGAACTTTTAAATCAATGTATTCAATTGTTAAGTCGTGTGTTAAACATTGCAAGACATTTTCAGAGTTTTTCAATTTATCGGTTGGGCAACGACAAGGGCAAAATAATTCGCCCGCCATGTTTGCACTATTTTTAGAACACCTAGAATTATTTTTACAAAACTCCGTCGATTGTGGATTAAATATATTTGAAATATGTATAGTATTATTTTTATTCGCTGACGATATGGTAATAATTGGTAACTCGCAAGAGGATTTACAGCAAAGATTAAACTCTTTATTTGAATACTGTAATCTATGGGACCTAGAGGTAAATACCGCCAAAACTAAAATAGTTGTTTTTCAGAATAGAGGACCAGTACTTCCTCATGAACGTCGGTTTTATAATAATGAAGCTTTGGAAATTGTTGACGATTTTAATTATTTAGGTGTAGTATTTAATTACATTGGGTTCTTTGTACTTCACATTCAATATCTTATAGGTAAAGCTTTGAAAGCAATGAATGTTTTAATATGTAATATTAACATGTATGAAATATCCCCTTCTGTTTCCTTGCAATTATTTGATGTTTGTCGGCTCTATCATAAATTATGCTTGTCCAGTCTGGGGATTTACAAAATCTAAAGATATAGAGAGATTACACTTGAAATTTTGCAAGTTAATTCTTGGTGTGAAAATAAGCTCTTGCAATGCAGCAATTTATGGTGAGCTAGGAAGATACCCACTTTATGTTAATAGATATGTTCACATAACAAAATATTGGTTTAAAGTGATACATTCAAACAATATCATTGTTAAATGTGTATATATAAATACATTAAATCAGTGGAATAAAGGAGTAAAAAACTGGGCGTATAAAGTAAAAGGAATTTTAGATGAATTTGGTTTTTCTGAGGTGTGGAATTGTCCTGAACTTTATAATCTAAAGAGTCATTGATGTTTTTAAACAAAAATGGTTTTCAGATATTGTTAATAATAACGTTTTAAATACATTGTAAAGACATATCAAGGATAATTTTTCTTTGGAATGCTATTTAGATAAAATTAAGTGTAAGAAATCAAGACAACAATTAACTCGTCTCAGAATAGCTGCGCATAATTTAAGAATAGAATCTGGTAGATATGGTAGAAATAGACTTGAAAGACATGAGCGCATATGTCAACTTTGTAATACACAAAGTATATATCTTGCGATGAAAAGGAATTTGCATCAAAATTCGAAGTTTAATTAAAGGCCATCAACAGAAATATGGTGTTACAAATATAGTTTCCTTAAGTTATAATTTTTGGACATATTTGGAGGAATTTTTTTATAGAACTAGTTTTATATTACATCTATGGTACACTTTTGGCATTCGTTTTCTTCTTTTGGCGTTTCTTGATGTCTACAGGTAATTACAAAATAACGAACAATGAACATATACAATACATGTACATTATAAGCGTAATGAAATGCTAAACATACAGAATACAGTGATCGACAAACTATACAAATACAATATACATTAATGTTTGTATTTCATGCATGATTTACCCGAACAAATAGTTGAAATAGTTGAATAAATAAAAGTACACATGTTCTAAGCTAACATAAGTATAAAGTTGACATATATTCATGTTTCTATTTTAATCGAAAACGTAGTTAATCTACATAACGCTATGACAAACCGTGTCAGAACAAATAAATTATATCGTTAATATTGATTAGTTGTATTGACTGTATTTATCCACATATTTCACTTCACTATTGACACAAGAGATGTAGATTATAGCTCATGTATATTACATTTTGTAAGTATGACAGGTGAGATTAAAATTTTAAGCATTGACATTTTTAAGAAATGAACACCTAAAACATGTACAACACAATTTATAATAATACATTATAAGGAACCTTGAAATAAAAAGGTTCTAAATATCACGTAAAATAAGTTCAATTAGACTGGTAAAAATGCTTTCGTAACAATGGTAAATATCCGAGTGCAAAACGACAATTCTTATATAATTCTATATGTACCAAAATATCTTCAGAGCTAAAAAGATGCATCGGGCAATATAAGGGTGCAAGTGTTATATGTTTATTTTATATTTAAATCAGAACAGAACGTTTATTCATTCTTTGCATATATACAGCACTGTGGCATAGACCAAAACATAAATATCATAACATATATGTGACAAAATTACAAAATTGTATTAGCATATATACAAGGTAAACAATCAAAGAGAGTGTTACAAAAGTTAAAGTATGCTATTTTACCAATTAATATAAAAGTAACATAAGGACGTTACTGGCAGTGCTCTACTGTAATAAATACAATAGTTCTTCCTCTATATAGCATTTAAAGATCCTGTAACACATTTTTTTCATGGTTTTATTTCATAAATATATATGATGCTCAAATTAAGATTTGCCAATACTGTAAGTTCCAATAAGCATTATTTATAAAGGTATTACCGAATTTAACATTCCTTTTTAATAAAGGGAAGTAATTAGAAATTTATTTTCTTTAAATTTTAAGTCAAATTTTCCAATAAGAAATGAATGCATGTGATTTTTTGTATTTTCTGATCATAAGATCAGTAAATACATCGCTAACATCCACGGTCTAACACAAAATTTCCTTACAGTCCTAACAACGCAAAGTAGTTCTCACTCAAAACTGCTTAAAAACCAGCAATTTAAAAGAAAGAATAATTTTTAATGTAGGCATTTAACAAATTACAGTGCATTAAAAGTTTAGATTAGTCAATAGAAATATGAGGTTACAACCACAAATTTCGCGGATGAATATCTTTTTTACCCAATGAAAAATGTTCGGCTATTTCCGTAAAACTTCGGATTATCATGAATATCATTTTAATCAATGAAAATGCTATTTTTAGCTATGTCGATTAAATTAATACTCCAGAGCGTAGTACACAAATAAATCTGACTGTCGAGTAGTGGAATATATACATGTCGGACTGTTTTGGCGAGAAGATTTTCGCTAAATTATTTTCATCAGTGTTAAACAACAGGTTTATCGTGAACAAAATACCTCGAAATTAATAAGGATTGCAAACACGAAATGGAAATTCTCAATTTAGAATTACATAATGTATTCGTTTTTATTCAAGGTACATATGTATTACTTCGCCGTGGTGCAGAGGTAAGCGGTCTCGTTGAGGGTGTGAGAGGCCTATGGTTCAAATCCTAGTCGAGGCAATTCTATTTTTTTTTCATGCAAAATTCCATATGTATCAATCTCAAACTGTTATAGAAGAAAATCAAAACGCTGTCGCTGCGTAAGATGAATTATAGTATATAAAAATAAACTTATACAGGAAAGTACATACAGATAGTCAGTATGATTTAGATTGCAAAGATCAGAAAATACCATAGAGCTGCAGCCCTTTGATTTATTAAATGTAATGTGCACAAATATTTGCAGTACACATTTTACATATTCTTTGATATTCGAAAATTGTTTTATTTGCATAATAAATACATATATAAGTTTTAGCAAGCGTGGTATACACACATAGGGGCCTCCGTGGCCGAGTGGATACGGTCGCTGACTCTAGATCACAGGTCCCTCACCGCTGTAGGTTCGATCCTCACTCGGGTCGAAATCTTCTGGCTTACGGAAGGTCGGTGGTTCTACCCAGGTGCCCGCTCGTGCCTGCAATAATGCACAGAGGGGCACCTGGGGTCTTCCTCCACCAATAAAGCTGGAAAAAATCGACGACAAAATCTCGGCAGGACGCTCTAGGATGGCCCGACTTGAGTGTACGGTCGCCCATATGGGCTTTTCGGCGGCGACCTTAAATAAATGTATACACACAGCTTCATCTCAAGTACCAGAGGTGATTGGTTGACCTGTCGTTTCTAACTCTGGAGGGTGGCGCTAACAAGAGCCATTTTATTTCAACCGCCTGTCACGGAACTTGATGCTTTTCCAGTATTGTCTTTCATCGAACGAAGTACATGACTTGGGAAGATCGGCATGAAAAAGACGTCCCCGATGAGACTTCTAGAGTGGACCGGCATGGACGCTGAGATCTCGGACATATGGAATTTCCGGCGCCGAGCTAAAATAAACTTAATTAAAGAAGAAAAAATATACACACAGTGACAGTATCAATCACAAAACATACACAGTTTGTTAACATGATGTTATGGCTGTAATGAATATCGTTTCTTTAGCTAAATTACCATTTTCTTCCTATTTTTTTTCATTTCTCTAGGCCATGTTCCGTCGGGATTTTTCTGCTCGATCACGATTATTTGACCCTGATATAACCCTGCATCCTGTAGCGTCTTGTCTTTGCTGTTCAACTGTTCATACAAGTTTCGCATAAACCTATTCCATAACCGGACTTCTTTATCATTGGGTATGCTAAATTCCCTACGCATTTTTTCTTCAAGTTTGCCTACATATGGATGGAATAATGTATTAATGCTTATAATGTGAAAATTAAAGATTATCAAACATTCTTTGATTTTATCATTATTCATTTATTTTCATTTATTTATTTCATTTATATATTTCATTTATTTATCTATTTATTCATTCATTCATTTGTATTTTTATATAAGAAAGTTTTAGCATTTTTATCTGATTTGACCATTTCTCAGTATGTAAAGGGTAAAAAATAAACTTTAAAACAGGATATACATTTGTAATGAAAATTATCTTACGGATTGTATCAATTCTGCTGAAAAGTTTTGTCACGGTGACATTTGGTTTAGAGTTTTCACAAATTTTCAGATGCCACAAGTAAATTTCCACTTTCAAAGATTTACTATAAGTACCTTCTTCTATCACATTTCTTGGTAATGGTATCTGAACAAACAAAACATGTAACACCCTCGAAAATTTATTTCGATAATCTTTGTTACAAAATATATTTTCGCTTATGTACCTTGAATAATGATCATATTAATTAGTTGAATCAAATAATGATGTAAATTTTGAGACAACACACATTGTTCTTACAAAAACATTGAATCATTTTAACCAAATATGTTTACTTATTTTAAAAACAACATGATTTAATTTCTCTATTAATTCCATATACTGTATATGCAATAACAATATAGCATTTGTTATGCTATGTTATATGCTACTTACAATATGAATACTCTATTGCCACTTTCTTTACCTCTTGTGTATTTTAAGGGTTGTGTTTACTGTCTAATTCAAAGAAAAACTGCTCCAGAGTACGTACACCTTCAACAAATGTCATTTGATAAACATATAGTACAGGGATATCGTACAGAGATAATAACACATAAAATAACTGTTACCTGTCCTTCCAACAGTCCATACCAAGACAGCAACATTTCCCAACATTCCTCAGGAACCTATCAAGTTTTCTTTTAGTTTATCCGTTCCTTCTGAAAGTACAATAATTTAATATCTTATTACGCTGCATAGATTGTTTCATGCGCAAATTTTTGGGGGATAAGTGTAACATAGTCAACTTAAGGATCATGTCTGTATTTTAATTAATCAATTATTAAATTATCAATTATGTGACTTTGATTTACAGTAATAGTTATTTCTTTTGTGTGCGAATACATGTGTCAAGTTTTAACTATTTAACGTAACTTAAAATGCTATGTATATGTTATTTATAAATAGTTTGCTTTCTGCAGACGATATGGCATTCTGTTTAAAATCCCATGGATTTACAAGCTAGTATGAACAATTTATATCAATTTTGTAGGTAGTGGGGCTTAGAGGTGGCTTCTAATAAAACAAAAATAATGTGTGTTTTTTTAGAAAAGGTGGACCTTTAAAAGGTAATGAAAATTCGTGTTATAATGATATTCTATTAGAAATTGCTGACAATTTCAACTACACAGTTTTTAATTACAACGGGTCATTTACACTTAAAAATCTATACGTATAGAAGTTTAAAGGTGCACGGAAAAGTTCATATTTCCTAATGCTGTATATATTGAATCATGCAGCGTCAAATACCGGTATAGAAAATGTATTTTTATGATTCATATTGAAAGTAGCACTTCTATGTAAAAAAACAATTTGCACAACATTCAAAGCAAAATATCATTTCAATACATACGTCAACAATAACTTTGTCCATAATAATGGTAGTATGCCTTTTAGGTTCATTTTAAGCTTAAAATTTCTTGACTATCAGCTGAATTAATTTGAAGTATTCTAATTGGAGAAAACACGCTACTGTATTGTAAAATTAATGTAATAAAAGGGCTAAAGTATTTAAAGAAATAGTGCCGATTAGTCTCTGGTCGAGTCTTGCATTGGGGCCGGTTTAGCTTGGGGTGCCAATGTCCTGTTTACACATGTCATAATGTTGTCATTTCTACAATGTTAGTATCAACTTGAACCTAAACCAAAGGGGCAGGACGTGACGTGGGTGCACGCTTGGTTCAAGCGAGGGAAATGGTTGAAAACTTGACAAAATGGCTACATGAAATTTTATAACGCCCAAACGTACATATTTTATCCAGGTAAGTGGGTTTGTATGTTATTATGAATTATTAACATGCCAATCCTAAAGGCAATGTTTATGACACGATTGGTGTTAGGTTTCTGATTTGACGAAGTTATTGAAGATACAAACCAAACTGGTCATGTTCATGTTTTGAGATTTGACAAGTGATTTTTCTGGTCGGGTTTTCTACTCAATTATTTACAACTATAAGGTTCGAAAATCATCAAACAAATCAAAATATGTCATATATAAATTGTTTAATTTGAATGTTCCAAAAAAGTTACAATACACACAAATATCTGGTTCAAGTCATTTTGGTGTAAAACTTTAACTTCATGCATTTCTGGTTGCAAACTTAGGCGGTAGTTATTTTGTTCGTATTGAGTTGCCAGAACTATCATAAGATGAAAGAATTATTCGAAATATTTGAGTATTTTGGTATTTAGTGCAATAATAATCAAATATAACAACACGCTAATTTCCACTTGTAGTGGAAATATTTAGAATTTGTAGATTCTGGTAAAAATTTAAAGGAAAATTCATGAAAAATGTTAGAAAAATACAAGAAAAGTGGATATAATTAAAATGTATGTCAGAATGTTTATGAATTAATTAAAAAGCTAATAAGGTAAGTGCATTTGAATTAAGTAAAATCCACCAAAGATAATTACTAAAATGCTAAGAAACACGAAACATGATCAAAACTTAAATAAACGCAAATTTCGTCCATTGTTAATTTGAATTTACCATCTTCCCACTGCAACACAATTCAAAAGACAGTCCAAAATAAGTAATTCGTACACACATTACATATAATTTGTTTTGTTTCAGTGCGAGATCAAGAGTTGTCATATTTTCAATCGTGACGTAGCCTAGAATAAATATAAATAAGGAACAAAACAAAAACAAACACATTGATTTTTCTTGTGCTTTTTAGACATTAAACTGATTTTGTCCAGTAGCATTAGAAGCTCTTCATGACTCGACAACGTCTTTGCGTTTATATTTTCATGATGAAAATTATTAAGCAGTTTCACTATGATGACACTATTCTCAACTATAATATTTTTAACTTTAATTTCATTTTTGATCTTATGCAACCTCTGTTAAGCTAGTTCATAACTTTCAATTATTGAATATATTTTCCAAATTCTTTTTCATTGAAGAACTGAGAAATATAATTATGATTAAAAGAATTACACACTTGTTTAATTTTATTTTCACGAATTCATCATTTCAACTTCAAGAATTCACGATTTCAATCACGAATTCAAGATTTTTCTTCACGAATTTAAGAATTTATCTTCTCTAATTCATAATTTCAACTTCATAAATTTGATGAGTAGATACCATGGGTAGTCATTTACGTTTGGGTGGAGCTGGACTTTTGGGGCACTTGATTTGAGGTCAAGGCACCTATGAAGCTTTTTTTATTATTTTGCTTATCAACCGAGTTACACTGAGTGATGGTCCTCATATCTAGAGTGTGGCTGGGTAAAAAGATTGTCTCCCTTTGGTTCTCTATATTAATTGAAAGATCTTTTATATTTGGTAGGCGCATAACATGAATGGTCCGCTACCGTTATATGGAGTATGGGGTCAGATGGATCAAGGTCATCAGTGCCACAATTATATTATTACACTTTGCTTATACAGCCTTAATTTAATTACTGTATTTTCTTTCATAATTGGAAGATACATGCCGTAAGTAGTCTTCAAACTTTGTCTTGAGTTTGGGATCGCTGGGTTTAAGGTCCAAGTTACCTGTGCTTAATTAGATTTCTTTACACTTTTGCTTACACAGTCTTTATTTACTAATGCTTTATTTACTGATGTGATGGTAGCTTAGAAAACATTTCACAACAAGGCTTATTGTGACTACTTGCAAATGCACATGCTGACATGTAAGAATTGGTAAGATGATTTTTTAACGACAAACAAAGTAGATTGGACAATTTTAAAAATATTCTTAGGAAGGGCTAGGTATTACTAAAATATATCAAATTTGGCCAAAGATAAAACCGTATATGCAATTACCTTGCTTTCTGCTACTCGCCAGGTTTGCGGCCATTATTGACATTATCGATCAATAATTGCATAATGGCAATCGACCTCTAAATATATTCAAAACAAAAAAAATAAACGAACATTTAATGTTAATTATTGTGTGATTGTTAATAAAGTGATATCAAAATACATGTATATATGTATCGGTGTACTTTAAACAAAAAATATAAACATTGTTGCATGTGTTTTTTTTATTATACAATGTACACTTAAAGAAATTGTGGTGTTTGTGTGATTGTTATTGGTGATATCAATATATGTAGATCTATATATATATAAGATTGTTATTAAAGTGATATTAAAGAAATAATTGTAGGTGTGCTTTAAACAAAAATAAATCAAAAAAAGTGTTGCAGGTTGTTTGCGAATACACTTAATGAAACTGAACCTTGAAAGTTATGCATATAATATATATTATATGAAATAAATGAGAAACTAAAATGTAATAAATCAGCTCTTTTCAAAAATATAAGGGTAAGATATTTATTTCATATTTGAATGGTTTAATGTTATATCACCTTGAAAAATATGGGTATTGTCTATAGGTCCTATTTGACATCAATAACGTACCTAAATTATCAATCATTCAGCATTTAATGGTCTTTAGATACAACAACACAACATACAACAAATGTTTGAATGGTTTAATATAATGTTACCTTGTAAAATGGGGGTATTGTCTATAGGTCCTGGATGAGCTGATTCCTCGCTTACATTACAGTGGTCCTTGCTCTCGTAACCAACATAACTTTTCCACTGTTTGAACCATATGGCATCAATAATGTACCTGATATAGCAATCATTCAGCATTAAGTGTCTGCTAATACAACAACACAAAATACAATGGTCATACTTAAAGAAATATAAACATGAACTCGCAGCGCTGTTTATACAAACGAATAATTTTAAGAAAATATTATTCATCATAATGTCATGAAAGAAAGTATAGATAAATACAAGAATTCATTTTGTATATTTAGATTGGTTATTTAACGATGTTATAAAACAAAATTCATTAGTACAGTTTCCAATGTTATTTGGAAAACAAACGTGCTAGAAACACGGGAACATTTTTTTCTGACTATATATAAGGATGATAATTATGCAAGTATATTATGGTCTTAGAAGGCTATCCCAAAACAGCACAAAATCATTCTTTCTTTTGCACTGTTATTAAACTTAGCAATATTTTGGTATTTATCCAGTGTGGTTCATGTCAAAACGAAGACAAAACAAATTTTCTGATACAGCCGATCTGTGAGAAATTTGCTTGACATATATGTTCCCACAAAAAAGTGTTCGATTCGACAGTGATCATTTTATGCCAAGATAATAGAAAAGTTTGTAATTTTATTATACGAACCTTAGTTATTATTCATATTGAATATAATAATGTTACATTTTGTCAAATTATCTACGGAGGTTAAGTAAATAAAAAGTTTGATTAGAAAGTAGGTCATGAACTATCCGTTAAAGGCACATTGTACCTCAGAAATGATTAAAAAGGGTTAACAGGAAATTTATAACGTTTAAATAATAGATTTACAACATGTCACATGCCTGTTACTTGAAGAAAGTAGCCCTACATGTGAAATAATTTTGTCATAAAGGTAGCATAATGTTAAGAAATCTTTTTATAACTTTTGTAATTGCCATAAAGCAATAAGAAGAAGTAGATGGTTCAGATAATTGGTACATAAGTAACTTTTTGGAAACTATTAATGTACACCAAAAATAAAAACCTCTAGAGATATGAAAATAAATTCATTTCTGGGTTATAGTGGACCTTTAAATATAAAATATCATTGTTGGACACTCACGGTTGATTAACATGTTACATAGCATGTAAATGTAAATGACTCAGCCGTTGGTATCAGAAAATGAACAAAATATATTGTCGTGTAATCATACTTGAAAGGCTATTTTGGGAGATACGAGTGCGAGTGCAGTTACCAAAGTTGTGGGAATAAATGTAAAGGTTCAAAGTTTTCGAGTTTATTGATTGATAGATTTAATTTAAGTAAATCAAAAACATAATATAGATATTTAAATAAAAACATACCATGTCTCTCCTTTAATTAATGGTTTCTGTAATTGATTTGCAACGAACGACTTCTGTGTATTTACATCTGGTACTTCTACAGTGGACTTTGACTGCATGTAAAAATTATTTCACTGTAAAGTTTGAATGCAAGTTTGTCAAGCAGATAGCATATGATAAATATAGATATAAATATATGTTGAAATGCAATGTTTGACACTTCTTTTCCTCCACATCTTATCCAAGCAGATTACACTTTCTTGACAAAGTGTCATAGAACATATGAGCTTCCCGAAGTAATAGCATGATCTAAACTGTCGACGGAATTTTAACATTATGAAATAATTTCTAGATAATTCCTAATTTGTGGGAGACATTCAGCACCGGATAAGCTTATGTCAACCTCCTTATCACAATGTCCTCTATCAGCCCATCATAATAGAAATGACAGTAATGACAATTATAAAATAAGTATTATTATTATTATAACTGTTGTTGCTGTTATTGTTGCTGTTGTCATTATCATTATCACTATAATGTGTTATATATGGGTCATTGTAAATATCATTATTATGAAAACTATATTTACCATTTGTGCGGATTCCTCGTTTATACAGGTGATACCTACATTCTGTTTTGAAAACTAGATTTCCCAACGGAATATGATTTTTCAAATCAAAGATTTGATACTGCTGTTTGCTTCAAACACAAAGTCCCTCAACTTGTGCCGCTTCACCTCCAATACATTCTGCTGTAGGGCTTTATGCTTCGTTTGCATATCCTTCATGGCCATGAACAATTCACATCTTTTACATTCCCGTACTTTCTGTTCCATCTTAGATTTCATGGATGATGTCTCGGAAATCAATGCAGACAGTTTTGAACAAGTATCTTGGATTTTTTTATTTCTGCGTTTTCTTTTGATTTCAAATCTGATTTTATTGTTCCAACACTTCTATTTATATATTCGATAAGTTGGTCCTTCAATGAATCTATTTCTGACAATGCAACGCTACACATTGTTTCCATTGATTTCTTAGCCTCAGACAGAACAGATACGTGTTTTTTGTGATTCTTCCACAACTACATCTAAATTTTGCCTTAGGTTCAAAAATTTCTGTTCCTTTTTCTAGATCCTTTACAAAGCTCTGGTAAATGGTGAACATTTTTACATTCCTTATGTCCGTTCTTCTTACATTCAGAACAGAAAAACATGTTGCAACTTGAGCAGTAGAATTTGATAATATCCTCGCTGTGACTAGGACACGGGTTTAAGCACACAGCTTGCGGCATATTAGTCTTCTCTTTATGTACATGATCAGGTAAAAATTCGGTATGATATGATAAGCAATCTTTACAAAAATATTTGACGCAATTCACACAAAATCCGTCAGCGCTGCGATGTTTACCTTTCTTTTGCACAATTCACAATACATTTCTACAATTTCATCTGAATCTAGCTCTTCAGTAGCGTAGTTTGATGCCATTTTTGTTGGTTTATTAATTATATATATACAGTAGACCTATGTCACATTCACATCCATCAATTGTATAACAAAACAATTTAATCGGTATCAAGATAAACACCGTTTTACACTTCCTTTATCAGTTGTGTACATGTGAACTGATATACGATATTCGTTCACAGGGAAGTTACTCTCTAAAATTACAAACAGGAGACATAATGGGTTAACGTTGCTTTAATCGTGCCAAGTATATTTGTAAATTGATTGTGTTAATATAACGTTTTAACATACCACATAACCGAATAAATGTGTTATAGGCATTTTATTATATATAAGCTGCGCTTTCGGGTCAAAATACCTTGCCCAAGTCTGACTAACCAGTCTGTAAACTTCCAATATTTCCCGTTATTTGTTAAATATATTCTACTTAACCCAGAAAATCAAATACAGCTTAAATACAAGTTCAATACAAGGACGAATATCGAAATATAATTTTTAAAAACAGGCAATGTAACTACCAAATTCAAAATTAAAAACCCTAAGTCAACACTGAATGACTAAAGGTGGTTTGCAAACGATGTTTACGTACAGTAACGTATTACATTTAGTTGTGTTAAAACATGTCAATACTATGTGCTTTAATTTTTTTTAAATACATATTATAAATTGCATTTATGTAACAATCTATATTGGGAAACAACACTTTTCTTCAGTATTAATTAAAATAATCAAACAAATAATCAAAAAACATTAGAATTCCCAGATGACAACCACACAGCATTAATGACCATATCAATTGTCGTGGGTTGCTATAAAATTATAAATTTCTGGGTGTGATGGGGTTAATACTATTTATTAACATTTATACCATCACTGGGTCCTTGATGTGAAGTAACGAAAGTTGGGTCCCCAACGAAAGCGCGAGGGATTTTTCTCTTTACGAAAAAAATCTAAAAAAACATACAATAATTTTCATTTCAAAAGAGCATTCATACACATTATTTGACAGAAATTTTCGGCTAAAATACACACATGAAAGCGCAATCAAGGCTGTAATTTTTATTGTTAACAGTAACTTAAAGATATTTTGCTTTTTTGCTATTTTCAATAAACTATTTTTGAAAAACTGTATAGGTAAAATGTCTTTTTTCTCTTATTTAGGGAGGAGAAAATATGTGTTCAAATTGATTCTTTATGGATTAAATTACATATACGTTATTATAGTTTGAAGTATTTATTCAAGAAAATCGTACATGTATAGTTTATGTTTTATAAATTAGCTGCGTTTTCCGAATAAAGTTACGCTTTGACTTGAATATTTATTTGTGCATGTTCCTAAACGAAAAAGAACTTTGTGAGAGTTTTGCTCACAGAGGGTAGCATATTTAGAACAGAAGACAACTTTGCTATCTTCCTTACATTTCAGAACGGCTTAAATTGATATCTATAAAGGAATGATCACTTTTAGCAGTGTTTTCAAGTTCATGTTTCTTGGACATTTTTTCATCATGTTAATGTGTTGAAAATTTAAATAAACAAAGAAAATCATGTCAATATTCATAGAATATACACTACTACATGCCTTACATTTAATTAGAACATTGTTGATGCTTCCTTATTGAACTATATTTTCTCTCAAATTGAATATTGCCGTACAAGGCAGTCATTCAAAAAACCCGTTTTTCTTTTCTAGGCATCTTGACTTTTGAACATGCATATCACTTATCTTATTGCGTTTTTTTCGCGATTCAAATACCATATATTCATTAAAGTGTCTTGAGATCCAAAAATGCTAAAATTCATATTTTTCAACAGCCTTTCACTCTTGATGTTTTTGATTCAGTTTCCTAAATAGAGCTAATTGTCCAAGTAGTAGTCGCCTTTTGCTTCTATGGCATATAACATGAGTGATTTAGCATTTTGACTGTAAGTCAAAAATACCACTAAGTTTACATTTTGCTATATTTTATGAGTTATATAAAGTATGCCCTTTTTTAGAGAAAAAACATATGTATTTAGTTCAGAGGATTAGTGTGCCTTTAAAGTATATAAAAAAAAAATCAGCGCAAAAGATTACATGTATTATATACTTTGTGTTTGTTATCTTTTTAAGCGCGCCTTTCGTTGAGCTTCAATGGAAGAAGCGTTATTTTATAATCGTTGATGTTCTTCTATTATCTTGAGAAAATGAAATTAAAAAAATCAAGTTTAAAACTAGTTGCTTACCCGGGAAAATCCAGGACTAATAATAGCCTGAACTGTCAAAATATAATTATTTAACTAGCGCATTTGGCGCTATTATTGTAAAAATATAGTTAGGGCGATGATAATAATAGCATCTATCCCTTATACAATATTAAGATTTATACCCCTCTAACCACTTGGGCATGTACTTACAGCCATTGTCGCATCCTTTCTAAAAAAGAATACACAAAAGTTCCAGTCTATAATAATCACTTTAACTCAAAAAGTGGTTTTATTTTTTATTTGTCACAATTCAAAACACTTCCTAGAATTAATAACATGTATATATCGTGTGGGGTTTCACAAAGCAAGCAATCTCTGTCGAATCATACGTTTGATGTGGCTGTTGGGTTTGAAATCCACTGGTTTGTTTGCTGGAAGATTATAAACCCTTAAACTTAAACTTTCAACGTTTACTAATCAACGGATATAACTAAAACATACTAATCTAAGCCAAAATTACAATTAAATTTTTAATAGTTTCTGAATACTTTTTAAAATGTTGGGCGGTTTATAACGTTTAACTGTGATATGAACATAATGTGTTCGAATATACGCACGTGTTATATCACGTGGTACAAAGTTATAAAAGATGTACAACTAACGCACCGAATAATGCTCCAGTGTATCCCCACCAGTCCCAGCAACCGGCAACATTGAATGGTACGGTAGAGGCTTTTGCTTGAGGATAAAGTATGATGATTCCGTCATTTAGCTCTCCAACCTCGTTGTAACCTCCGTGACGTACATACGCCTCCCCAATCTTACTTCTGTAAAAAATATTATACTGTAAAAACGTTTTTTCAGAAGAATTTTCCACGATTTTAAGATTTTTTTTTTTCAATTATCTTAGCATCGTTTGCGAGATTTTAAAGTTCACGTTGTTTCCGTCTAGGTCTGGGATAAAATGTCTCAAAATGAGTCTTAAACTGTGCTTATAAACAAATCATTATATTATTATTCACAACATCATGATGTCAGTAGTTTTGAAATAAAATAATAAATTACATGTACAAGTTTAAAGAATAATTGCACCCTCGTAAAGTCATTTTAACACAATATATGAGCTTCGCCATGGACAAAACCAACCATAGTGTGTTTGCGACACCAGCTTGGCGCATCCACGCAGTCTGATCAGGATTCATGCTGTTCGTTCTTGTATATATGGTTTGTAAGCGAACAGCATGGATCCTGATCAGACTGCGCGGATGCGCAGGCTGGTCTGGATCCATGCTGGTCGCATACGCACTATGTTGGTTTTGTCATGGCGCGGCTCAATTATGCTATAAAATTACTAACTGCCCCATTGCACAGCCATGAAAAGCTACGTGTAGTCTGCATTCTGGAAGACAAGTAAATCACTTTCAACGAATTATCTAAATTTTTAATGGTAAAAAATTAAGAAAGATAATTAAGTTAAATGTTTTAATTAACACTCATATGTTATTTGGATTTTAGCATGTGTCAATTAAATTAATACGTATAAATGAAAGATGAGAATTATTGATGAAATAAAATGCGTATTTTCATTTCCCGTACTTTCGACTTAAATTGTGTTTACTGCAGTGAAATATATTTTCCGTATTTTCACTAGTGTCTTGCCGGACTACTTCTTTCTAAATTCAGTCAAAACACAAAATTAAAAGGGAATTCTTTCATAAGATTAAAAAGATAAAAAGTATATAATAAACAGAAAAATCAAGTTTTCTATTATAAATATAAATAATAAAACCACTCGTGAAATATTTATTTTCATACCACTCGATGAAAATAAATCCTGTATTTATAGAAAAAAACTTGAATATCCTGTATATATGTAATGGTTAGCTAGTACTCGTCATTTACTTACTGGTTAATTTATCCCGACAACCAAGGGCACATAAATATTTCCGGTCGTATCCATACTATACATGCCTGGTGTTGATACATAGAAAAAAGTCAATCTGACTAAACTTCAGCAACTTGTGAAATACAAGAAATCTTCATTTGACATTGTTTATTTAATGTTGATGTTGTAAGAAAGGTTTCAAATAGTTAACTGCAGAATCTTCTTCTATTCAGGGTCTTAAAAATATATATCTGAAAGACCCTGTTCTGTTGAATGAGAATATCATAATATAACTCT